CCAAGATCAGTTGTCCTTTACTCTCCTTCTTCATTTTCGCCCAGGCTGGCATCCTCTCCTTCACCTCTTCTGCCACACCTGTGAGGGACGTGCCTAGAGAGACGCTAACACAAGAGGTCTCTGGACAGCTAGCTAGGCACGGGCCTGCAACCTCTGCCCTAGGCTCATGTGGTTTAAGAGTTTCCTGTGTGCGCGCACTCGCTTCCCCACATGGCCTTGAAGTAGGGGCAGTTGCGACCCCTACTGGCGGTTGCCTTTTGACTGCTGAGCAGCCCATCGGGCCTGTCTGTACTGTGGACACAATTTGATTACGTGGGCCAGGTCACCACAAAACACGCACTGACCCAAGTTCACGCGTTCCTGGCATACGCACTGGTCCAAGCCCAAGTCTTCCCAGGGCCTGCCCTGTGGCAAGCCTGGGTGCCATCCTCCTTGAGGTGTCCTTCCACCTCGTCGCTGTGGGGACCGACAAGAACCTTGACGATTTGGCGGGGGACCTTGACCCCTACCTCCCACTTGGCGGTTCCCTTGTCCGCCAACCCCCTGTGCGTCCGGTCCTCAGCCTCCCATGGCCTGGCCCCTTTGGCCCTGGCCTCCTCCTCTACTTTGCGGCCTCCCTCCAGCCGCGAGAGCAGCATAGGACCTCCCCTGCCCCACGCTACTGTCCTCCTCCTCAAGGCCCCACTCGATCTGACTATATGGGACCTCATCTGTACCACCTTCCTCTAAGGTAAGGATCATATGATCCTTGGCCCTCACTTGGCCAGAGATGGTACGACCTTTCCACTTGTTTCCCTTGTCTAAGTCCTTATGCCAGAAAGTGGAAACTGGCATGGACTTGGCCTCAAACAGCACCACCTCTCTACTGAGCGCATCGTATGTCATGGTGGGCGGTTGGGACTTGTCAAAGAAATGCCCACGCAGGGGCTCGGGCATGGCACGATAAAATAACTGGACCAATTGGGTCTCAGTGACCCCATGGTCTGGGACGGCTACCAAGTCGTCCATGACGCCCTTGAGTGCCTTGGCACTCCTCCATTGTCGTGAGTGGATGGTTTGGAGCTTGTCAGAGGCTCTAACGCCTCTGCGAAGATCAGCGAATCGCTCCCTAAGGAGCTTGAAGAATTTTGAGGGCTTGGAAGGCTACCCGGGCCTGATCATCCTGTACGATGTGCTGTAAGTAAACGTAACTGTTTACACTAGCCTCCCAGTTATCGAAGTTCTCATCAGATTTCCCACCACTAGCCTCCCATCGGTGCAGTACACAAAGGAAGACGCCGTCAAAAGGAACGTATTAAATTTTATCAAGTGTGGAATGGTCTTAAGCCGTTTGTATGTGACAGTCGTATACTTGATAGCAATATATATAATAGATGTTGAGTATGCGGATAGCGGAAGCTCATTCCATTGGAAGGTTGTCAACGTTGGGACAATTTACGTAAATTACGGGGGTCGATAACCAGTAGACACCTATCAAATATGTAGGACCGCCAAGCATTTATTTACTAAGAAGATGTTGACGGGGAGGTTTATTTTTCAACAAATATATCGTGAACATAAAGTGTGTCATGAGTAGGCAATCGGATCCTGTACAAGAGTACAAAACAACACGTCATATTGAATTGTATGTTGGGCCATTGGCGGCCATCAAAGCATTGCGTTGCGTAAAGGACGTAAATAAATAATATAACGTTGCCATGGGACCTCGCTCCACTGCTTTAGAAATGTGCAAAATGATAATGGATCTTCCACTATAACTTGGAAAGATATGCTGTCATATTGTGAGCAGTAGTGAACCGAGGTCCATCATCAGGACAGTGTTGCCAAATTCAACTGAGCCGGTCTAAAAATAAACGCAGACCTGTGCAACTGTACCAAAACTTTTGTGGCCACGAGCCAAAACCGAATAAAAAATGTCATGCTTGCATCAGAGCTTGGCAAACAATGGGGACTTTATGCTCATGAACTTTGTCTGACATTTATTGGTGCCTTAATATATAAATAAGTGAAGGTCACTCCCACTAAATATTATACCTGCTGCATGGCATTGTGCTTCCAACATATGTTAGGATGGGCTGTACTACGTTGACATGTGCGATTAGGTCTCTGCACAAACATTGAACACTCGTGCAACTGAATCAAAGCAGTTGGCGGCGCATGCGAAAAGAAAAACAAGAATGTCACACTCACATTCCGGCAAAGCTTGGTGCGCGGCGGAACCCTCCTGGGGCCTCGACCCACTAGCCAAGCGTAAAACGGTGTGTGGCATGCAAAATGTGTTAAAAAAATAGGAAAAAATGGTTTTCTAACTTTTCTTGCATTTTATTTTCAAGGAGCCCGCAATAATGACTGAAATCCGTCATTATTACACCATATCCGTTTCATTCCAATAAGCATGGATTCACCCCGACATCGGGGGTATGTGCCCCAGCCCTTGTGATAGGGACATGAATACAAGGCCGAATGAGCGGAATCCGCCGCTGTGTCCCCGAGTCCTTTCCATTTTCAGTAAGGGGGCGAGAATGCCAACTTTCCCGATCGGGAAAGTACGGACGTGGGTCGGCCAAGAGGTACTCATGTCTGTCTCCGCACCTAGACACTTTTGTAGACAACGTACGACCATGTTTTCGGAATGTAGACGTGTATGAGGGTTTGTGCATCCGATTGAAAGGAATGCACTGACACCACATTTCTCGCCCTTATTTGTGGGCACTGCACAAAAACGACGCCGTTATTACTTCCATTCGTCATTTTTTTCAGACTTCCCAAGCGAAAATCCGTTGGCTCCAAGCTTGGATATCACCCCATGGGTCAAAAGTTGTTGTTATTGAAGCTTCGCGCCAAGCAAAAGTGGCCAACAAAAACACCAAAAAAAAAAAAAAAAAA